AATGTGGGATTTCCAGTGCTAAAACTGTGGTAGTTCTGGTCAAACTAGGATGACTGGGCACCCCAAGTCTACTAACTCACCCGGAACTGGGCCACCAATGCCTCTGCTGCCATGAGGCAGCCTCCAAATCAGGAAGCCAGTGCTGTGGGATCATGGTGCTTCTGCTTCCATCTGTGCCAGCCACATGTGCACTGAGCCACTCCCTGGTTACCAACAAAAGCCTTAGGCGAATGTGTTAACTTGGTAGAACCTCAGTTCCATCCTTGACCTCTGTATTAGTCCATTCTCACTCTGCTATGAAGAACTGCCCTAGACTGGGTAATTTATAAATAAAAGAGGTTTAATTGGCTCACAGTTCCGCATGGCTGGAGAGGCCTCAGGAAACTTACAATCATGGCAGAAGGGGAAGGAAACACTTCCTTGTTCACATGGTAGCAGGAATGAGAAGTGCAGAGTGAAGTAGGGGAAAAGCATCTTTTTTTTTTTTCTTTTTCCTGAGACAGAGTCTCACTCTGTTGCCCAGGCTGAAGTGCAAGTGGCACGATTTCAACTCACTGCAACCTCTGCCCCCCGGGCTCAAGTGATTCTCCTGCCTCAGCCTCCCAAGTAACTGGGTTTACAGGTGCATGCCACCACACCCAGCTAATTTTAAAAATATTTTTAGCAGGGTTTCACCAAGTTGACCAGGCTGCTCTTGAACTCCTGACCTCAGGTGATCTGCCCGCCTCAGCCTCCCAAAGTGCTGGGATTACAGGCGTGAGCCACTGCGCATATATATATATATAATTTTTTTTGAGACAGAGACTCACTCTGTTGCCCAGGCTAGAGTGCAATGGTGTAATCATGGCTCACTGCAACCTCTGCCTCCCGGGTTCAAGCAATTCTAATGCCTTGGTCTTCTGAGTAGCTGAGATTACAGCCATCGCCACCATGGCCGGCTAATTGTTGTATTTTTAATAGAGACGAGGTTTCACCATTTTGGCCAGGCTGGTCTTGAACTCCTGACCTCAAGTGATCTGCCTGCCTCAGCCTTCCAAAGTGCTGTGATTACAGGCATGAGCCACTGTGCCTGACCGCCATATTGCTCTTATCACAGTAACTGTTAAGTCATAATTAGATTTTATTATGCACTTGGATTACTACTCATCTTTCTTGCTTGAAAGATAAAAGGGGGTGGAGTTAGAGCAATGCTTGCCACTAAACGGGGCATATATAATAAAATCCTCCCTCCAAGCTTGGCATACAGGGCCACACTGGTTACTGCTTCCTACTTCCACCGTCACATCCTGTGCTCCACACTAGGACTTTACAATCTTTAACATCTCCAGACTTTTCCCTTTGCCTAGAAAATCTTTCCTTTCACTTCCCTTACTGGCTGGTGAAACTTGTGCCCCTCAATCCCTTCATAGGGGGCTCAACTCCTTCATGAGCTCTTCTTGTTCCACATCATGTTGGCCATTCTCTCCTCTGAGCACCTCTTTATGGAGTATATATGCCTATTATTTACTTTTCTATCTCTCTTACTAGGCTAGGTGATCCAGAACTCCTGACCTGGCACATGTCAGACATAATTGGTACTCAATCAGTATTTGTTACATGGAGGAATGAATGAATGAATGAATGACACATACAATAGAAATCTCTATAATGTACACTGGTAGAAGAAAGATTAGTCAAAATTATGGAATATGTTTAAATCACACAAAAAGTGGCTGGGTGCAGTGGCTCACACCTGTAATCCCAACACTTTGGGAGGCCAAGGTGGGCAGATCACCTGAGGTCGGGAGTTCGAGACTAGCCTGGCCAACGTGGCAAAACCCCATCTCTACTAAAAATACAAAAATTAGCTGGGGGTGGTGGCACACGCCTGTAATTCCAGCTACTCTGGAGGCTGAAACAGGAGAATCACTTGAACCCAGGAGGTGGAGGTTGCAGTGAGCCAAGGTCGCACCACTGCACTCCAGCCTGGGTGACAGAGCGAGACTCTGTCTCAAAAACAAACAAACAAACAAAAAAAACACAAAAAGTAAACTGAGTGGTAAATTAGAGAATTATATGTGAAGTGTTTTATGGCACTTTTTTGTTTAAGGGATGGGGTCTCACTTTGTTGCCCAGGCTGAAGTGCAATGACTCCTCACACATGCGATTAGAGCACACTGCAGCCTTGAACTGTTGGCCTCAAGTGATTCTCCAGCCTTAACCTCCCAAGTAGTTGGGACTACAGGTGTGCTGTGCCTGGCTAGTTTATGGCACTTTTAAACAGCTTTAAACAATTACTTTCTTACGTAGGTTAAACACCTTTTCAGTTCTCTTCAAGTTATATCCTATTAATTTAATTATCAGTTAAAAATAGTGAGGCTGGGCCAGACATGGTGGATCACACCTGTAATCCTAGCACTTTGGGAGGCTGAGGTGGGCGGATCACGAGGTCAGGAGACAGAGACCATCCTGGCTAACATGGTGAAACCCGGTCTCTACAAAAAATACAAAAAATTAGCCAGGTTTGGTGGCAGGTGCCTGTAGTCTCAGCTACTCAGGAGGCTGAGGCAGGAGAATTGCTTGAGCCCAGGAAGCAGAGGTTGCAGTGAGTCCAGATCAGATCGTGCCATTGCACTCCAGCCTGGGTGACAGAGCGGCAGTCCATCTCAAAAATAAAAAATAAAAAAAATTTAAAAAATTTAAAAAAATAGTGAGGCCGGACATGGTGGCTCACACCTGTAATCCCAGCACTTTGGGAGGCAGAGGCAGGTGGATCACAAGGTCAGGAGTTCGAGACCAGTCTGGCCAACATGGTGAAACCCCATCTCTACTGAAAATACAAAAATTAGTCAGGCACAGCGGTGGGCACCTGTAATCCCAGCTACTCAGGAGACTGAGGCGGGAGAATTGCTTGAACCCAGGAGGCAGAAGTTGCAGTGAGTTGAGGTCGTGCCACTGCACTCCAGCCTGAGTGACAGAGCAAGACTCCGTCTCAAAAAAAAAAAATAGTGGCAAAACCTGTGATTACTTTTGCACCTAGTAAGCTTCCTCCTGCTCCCGTTTCTCAGCACAAAAGTAAAACTTACCCAGCCTGGGATGAATTACCATAAATTGTGATTAGTTGGTCTAAATTAAAGTAGATTTATGTATTGATTTACCAGTGAATGATTGATTTGTACCCTTGCTATCATTTATCTTCACATTATTATAGAAGAAAATATTTCATACAAATGTTTTACTGTTTTTATTGGTTTTGGTTACTAAAAAGTAGCTCTTTTTTGAATAATCTTTATGCTGCTGCTGAAGAATTCTTCAGCACATGAGGATCTGTATTTTTCATCTTTTTTTCTTTCATGTGTGTTCCATTCAGATCAGGAAATTGACATTTCAGCTTAGAAGACTTAGGCCAGATGTTAGTTTGCTGGCTGAAAGATGGATTTCCTGCCCCAATAGGTGACCTCTGAAAGCAAAATAGGCTTTTTCTTAATGGATAGACTGTCCAAATGACCTCATTTCTAGAACAAGGGTTCTTTGTTAAGTGTCTTTTTGCTATTGGAATCAACATCATCTGATTTTTGAGAACATTCATTAGATAACTAGCACCTAGTTGTTTCATTTATAAGGCATAGGAAAAAAATTATGCCTAGACAATCCATTTAAAAAAGAATTGTGTTCATTGAGAGGGAAATGGTGCAGAAAATCCGGTGCCTGCTCACCCATATTAATAATGTCTTTTAGATTTCAAACCTCATTCAGGCCAGCATTAACCATAGGAGCAGAGTATGTTATGTACTTCCCTTAACGGAGGATTGTTTCACTAAGCTTGACCAAGGCACTATTTAAAGAAGTAACCATGACCCCAGTGTCCTGTCACTTGTAGCTTCTCTCTCCATATGTGAGAAACTCATTGAGACATTGCCACGGTGCCACCTCTTTTGATGAGTTCTTCATAGAGTTCATTTATTTATATCTTCAATTGTATAAGGCAGCTCAGAAAAACTGAGATAACTAAGCCTTTATGTGTGTGTGTGTGTGTCTGTGCATCCGTGTGTGTCACAAAAAATGCAATTAGAAGGAAAGTACTCTGGAGAGGAACATGGCCTTCAACAACAGGGGCGAGTCCATATGACTTACTGTACTTGGTAAGGAGAAGAGTTAGATGGCGTGAGAAGAAAGATATATGTTTCTGAGATTCTGAAACAATGGAATTTTACAGCTGAAGGAAAAGTTGAGTTTTCTGTCTTTTTTTTTTTTTTTTTTCAGGAACAGGAATGGGAGTGTCTCTTTGTAAGGGCTGGCAGATGAATTTTACTAGTATAAAAATCATGCTCCTTCTGATACAAAAATGTTGGCATTTCCATGAAAGACAGAGAACAGACATAAAGAGGGTTAACCTCAGGGCTCCACCATGCATCTGGCACTCATGGGTCTTCCTCAAGTAATTACCTGGTAGATCTGTGACTTAAAAAATGAGTAGTAAAAAAGGATATCGAACTTTCCTTTATAATGACTCAACACATACTTTTCCCAGAATGTTATATTCAGCTCACTGCCTTTTTTAAAAATACTCATGCAAATGTCATTAATCATACGTGTGGTGGTGTTGTTTACCCAAAGTATTGTGCAAGCATACATCAACTCTGGATAAGACTGTAATGATCTTCTGTTTCCTGGGATGAATTATGTGAGTGAGAATCTTTTGTTCTATGCACGTAACGTGATGGCATCTCAAAGAAGCAGAGCAAGAGTTTTAACCGGAGCTTTAAAATGTGTTGGAAAAAAGTATTTTCCATAACCATGTTTAAGAGCACAAGAGACAGCCAAGTGGACATTCCCATAGGGTAAAATTTATTAGAAGACAAGATTGATAAATCAGTTTGGTTAGTGGATACTTCCCAGCTGCACTTTTAAGTCTTTTCTTGCATAACTAGGAAACAGTTAACAATTTCTGGTCTCTTATTAACACATTCCCTTTTATTTTTACTTTTTAATTTAATTTAATTTATTTATTTATTTGTTTATTTTGCATAAGAATATCACTATTTTCCCTCAGGTAGTTTTTCTAGGGCTTCAACATTTTCTCTTCAAAATCAGAAGAAAAATATCCCAAAGTTTAGAACTGGATCACTTGGCCCTTTCTCTTCTTATCTCCTCCCAGTTCAAAATGCTTGCATCTCTTAATGGCCAGCATCCTCTTGGATCTGCAGTTAGGCTCAACACATTCCAGCCTTAGCACAATCTTCTTTGTGGTCTTAGCCTTCTTCCGGAAAATTGGCTTTGTCTGCCCACCATAGCCACTCTGCTTCCGATCATGGCGCCTCTTTCCCTGGGCATACAAAGAATCCTTGCCCTTCTTATACTGTGTCACTTTGTGAGGCTGATGCTTGCCACACTTCTTACAGAAGGTTCTTCGGGTTTTAGGTACGTTGACGATCTTTGCAGCAGGGCTGTTGTCTATATGATGAAAGTGAGAAACGGCGTCCGACACCCTGGCGTTGCGCAGCTCTCGCCTAACAGGAAAGGCTTTTTTATTTTTTCTGAGACGGAGTTTCCCTCTTGTGGCCCAGGTTGGAGTGCAATGGCACGATCTCTGCTCACTGCAACCTCCGGTTCAAGCGATTCTTCTGCCTCAGCCTCCCGAGTAGCTGGGATTACAGGGGCCCGCCACCACGACCGGCTAATTTTTTAATTTTTAGTAGGGACGGTGTTTCGCCATGTTGGCCAGGCTGGTCTTGAACTCCTGACCTCGGGTCATCCGCCAGCCTTGGCCTCCTAAAGTGCTGGGATTACAGACGTGAGCTACCGCGCCCGGCCCCTGTTTTATTTTTTGTATCTCCTAAGCAAAAAAAGAGAAATAGCAGGAAGTGTGATTCTAAAGATCATTTCCCTCCGTGTTTCCTTTTTTTTTCTCCTGACAGGTGGCTTTCATAGAATCTTACCGTTCTCTGTAGGAGAGGCGGTTCTCATCTTAATTCAGGAGTAACTTGATGGTGAGTTGAAGTCTCTTGGTTCCTGCCTTAAACAGTATGGGATGCAATTCACAGAGCCCACTTTTTTGATCCTCATGGGCATCTGTATACATCTCGCCAGAAATTTGCTTCTTGTCTATAATGTGTTACCAAATTTTTCCGAATCTTCATAGTTCAGAATTACAAGTGGCTTTAGAAATCATCTAGTCTGACCCTGCTGTGTATAATAAAATACCTGTTGTGGTATTATTAATGGAATAATTCCCAGGCAGAACTTGTTTTTTGGTTTGTTTATTTGTTTGTTTATTTGTTGTTTATTTGTTTGAGTCTCGCTCTGTCACCCAGGCTGGAGTGCAATGGCGCGGTCTTGGCTCACTGCAACCTCCGCCTCCCGGGTTCAAGCGATTCTCCTGCCTCAGTCTCCCAAGTAGCTGGGATTACAGGTTCCTGCCACCACGCCCCACTAATTTTCAGTAGAGACAGGGTTTCACCATGTCCGCCAGGCTGGTCTCTAACTCCTGACCTCATGGTCCGCCCACCTCAGCCTCCCAAATTGCTAGGATTACAGGTGTCAGCCACCGCGCCTGGCCAGAACTTGGTCTTCACATAGCATCAACACAGATGAAAATCTAACTGGCTATTGCCTATCAGAGTAGAACAAAAAATTTCAGAGAAAATTTTGCTAGCTTTGTGGCAAAACTTGAATTGCAGTGGTACAATCAGGGCTCATTGCAGCCTTGACCTCTCAGGCTCAGGTGATCCTCCCACCTCAGCCTCCCCAGTAGCTAGGACTACAGGGACATACTATAGTACCTGGTTAATTTTGTGTAGAGATGGGATCTCACTTTGTTGCTCAGGCTGGTCTAGGACTCCCAGGCTCAAGTGATCCTCCTGCCTCAGCCTCCCAAAGTGCTGGGATTACAGATGTGCGACCCCCTGCCCTACCCAGCCCAGAGAAAAGGATTTACATCCCCACAGCCTCACTTGGTTTATTTCCTTTCTCTCCCTGGCCTATTCTGTCTGCATTCTGTTTTAATTTCTTTTTAGTTTGCTCTTAGCTCTTCTCCCACTTCTTTCACCAAACACTCCTTGATGAAGGGCTTTTTAACGGGTAATGCTTTAGCATGGGCTTGGCTCACCTATAAGGCATTTGTGGGAAAAAAAAATGGTGTGAATTTGTGACAGGGAAAATGTTTTAACATACCAGTCTTTCCTTGAAGTCAGTTCCCCCAAGGCATTGTGGAATGCCCCACATAGGAGTGCCAGAAAGGATTGCTGACTGTAGGCAAAAATTAAATGAGCTTATCTACTTTCATTGCTCAATTTCAGCAACAGTGAGTATGGTGAAAAATAAATTGGAATATTTATAATCTTTCAGATTTAATCTCTGCTATAAGCAGAAAATGTGTTGTTGTCATCTGTAACAAATAACAAGTATTTAAATGAAAATGTGTTCCTAAAACATATGCTATTCTTAGGGAAAATGCATTTTAATTTCAATATTTAATTGTCTGCCCTTTAAAACCAAGTATCTCAAATCCAACAGAGCTTAAAAAAAAAAAAAAAAAAGATAAAACCAAATATCTCCAAATATCTGATTTCTTCATTAACTTGTCTCATGATAAGTTAGTTATTTTGCCAGCGAGTTTTTAAAAATAATCTACAGGCCTGGTGCGGTGGCTCATGCATGTAATTCCAGCACTTTGGGAGGCAGATCACCGAGGTCAGGAGTTCGAGACCAGCCAGACCAACATGGTAAAAACCCGTCTCTACTAAAAATGCAAAAAATTAGCTGGGCTTGGTGGCATGCATCTGTAATCCCAACTACTTAAGACACTGAGGCAGGAGAATCCCTTGAACCCAGGAGGTGAGGGTTGCAGTGAGCTGAGATCATGCCACTGCACTCCAGGCTAGGCGACAGAGCGAGACTCCGTCCAAAAACTACATGAATAAATAAAAATAAAAACAATCTACTGGTATAGATTTTTAATACACTGTATTCTATTTTAAAATTTTACATTTCCTCAGCTCCTCTTCCTTACTCTGACGTACCTATAGTCTGCAGGGGCTTTCAAATTTGAGCACTAATCACTATCCTCCAGGGAACTTGTTTAAAAAACAGATTACTTGCTTTAGCCCAAGGAGTTCGAGACCAGCCCGGGCAACATAGGGAGACTCTGTGTCTACAAAATAATAATAATAATAATAAAATTAGCCAGGTATGGGGGTGCATGCCTGTAGTTCCAGCTACTTGGGAGGCTAAGGTGGGAGGATCCCTTGAGCCCAAGTGTTCAAGTCACTGCACTCCAGACTGGGTGACAGAGGGAGACCCTGTCTCAAACAAACAAAAAATCAAAAAACAAATTGGTGGTTCGACTCCCAGAGTGACTCAGTAGAAGTCTTGAGGTGGAGCCTGGAAATTTGCTTTTGTAACAAATTCCTTGGTGATGCTAATGATTGAGTTGTAGGTGTGTCCTTTGAGAAGCACTGCTCTAGATAAAATATCTTTGTTGTTGTTGTTGTTGTTGTTGTTGAGACAGAGTGTCACTCTGTCGTCCAGACTGGAGTGCAATGGTGCGATCTCGGCTCCCTGCAACCTCTGTCTCCTGGGTTTAAGCAATTCTCCGGCCTCAGCCTCCTGAGTAGCTGGGATTACAGGCATGCGCCACCACACCTGGCTACTGGCTAATTTTGTATTTTAGTAGAGATGGGGTTTCTCCATGTTGGTGAGGCTGGTCTCAAACTCCAGACCTCAGTTGATCCACCTGCCTTGGCCTCTCAAAGTGCCGGGATTACAGGCATGAGCCACTACACCAAACTAGATAAAATATCTTTTTTTTTTTTTTTTTTT